CGCGTGGTGGCGTGGTTTGCAGTGAAGAGAGGACAGACAGGGCAGATAGAACTAACTGGTTAGCGCTCCTCAGCACCCGTCTCTAAGATCAGGAAATAAACATAGGATCTTCCTGTGTAGTTCTAAACCACACCCCCTGCTAAAAACAGGTGGGGTTGGGACAGAATTACCTGCAGCATGGTGGGTCACTGACAGAGGAGGAGGGGTCTCCTAAATCGAGCACGTGTGTGTTTGAGCAGCTCTGACATGCACAAGTGCAGAAGCTGCTGAACGGGCCGAAGGGCAGAGCTTAATCCCAGAGGCAGGCAGGATGCTCCAGTTGACCGGCAGTCAGGGGTCTGAGTCAGACTCACTGTCCAGACACAGTGTCCCGGGCCTCTGGGAGAATAAATATGCCCAGTGATGCTCAGAGAGCAAGCACGTTCCCCTAAAAGTCAGATTGTGGGGTCAAAACCCTACTCCACACACGAGAACAATAATCCAAGCTTCCAAAATCTTCAGAGGTATTTCTCCTTGGTGCCCTCTCCACTCAGTCCCAGATCAGGGACAGCACAGGGTTAAAAATAAAGTAAAGCTTCCTCTACACCATCCTCAAGCACTCAGGACAGGCACAAACTGGGGTTAGGTACAGAATAAAGCTCCCTCTACTCTTGTATACAGAAAGTAACCTGGAAGTAAAGCTCCCTTTACTGTTCCCATCAAACAGTCCAGGACAGGGATGGCCCAAGGTTAGATACAAAGTAAAGCTCCCTCTACACTGTCTGCCATCAAATGCTCCCAAGTGCAGGGACAGCACGGGGTTGGATACAGAGTAAATCCTCAATAGTACCCTCCAGACTCAGGAGTGAGAAGCAGAGTTTGTGGGTTTAGTGAGTGCACATTGGGATTGGTCCATCTGCAGCTGATGGAGAGTTGGAGGGGACTCTGACAGAGCGGATGTTGAGAGGATATTTCCCTTGGTGGGGGATTTTTAGAGTGAAGGGGCACAGTTTAAAGACAAGGCCTTGTCATGCAAGATAACGAAGAAAGATTTCCTTTCCCAGAGTGTGGAGATGGCATATTGATGCCCAGGTTAGACAAATGTTTAATCAACCAGATTCACTTTGGAAGGACAAACTTGAAAGCATAATACAGGGTTAACGGAAAGATTCTTGGCAGTGTAGAGGAGCAGAGGGATCTTGGGGTTCACATCCACAGTTCCCCGAAAGCTGCCACCCAGGTGGATGGAATTGTTAAGAAGGCATATGGTGTGTTAGCTTTCATTAATAGGGGGATTGAGTTCAAGAGCCGTGAAGTTAGGGTCCAGCTATACAAAAGCCTGGTTCAGCCACATCTGGAGTATTGTGTCCAGTTCTGGTCACCTCATTACAGGAAAGATGTGGACGTGTTGGAAAAGGTGCAGAGGAGATTTACCCGGATATTGCCTGGAATGGAGGGAAGGTCTTACGAGGAAAGGTTGAGAGAGCTAGGGCTTTTCTCTTTAGAACGACGAAGGATGAGAGGTGACTTGATAGAGGTGTACAAATTGATCAGAGGTATAGATAGAGTGGACAGCCAGAGACTTTTTCCCAGGGTGGATGTAGCTATTACGAGGGAGCATTGTTTTAAAGTGAGGCGGTAGATGTAGGGGAGACGTCAGAGGTAGGTTCTTTACTCAGAGAGTGGTAGGGGCGTGGAATGCATTGCCGAAGAGGGTAGAGGAGTCGGCCTCATTAGGGGCATTTAAGCGGCTATTAGATAGGCATATGGACGATAGTATAAGGAAGGGGTGGAGGTTAGATAGACCTTAGGGATTAGGGTAAAAGTTCGGCACAACATCGTGGGCCGAAGGGTCTGTACTGTGCTGTACTGTTCTATGTTCAGAGTGGGCTGGGGAGGGAAGTGGAAAGTAGAGTAAAGGCCACAAGCAGATCAGCCACGATCGTATTGAATGGCAGAGCAGGTTTAAGGGGCCAAATGGCCTAGTCCTTATCTAATTCGTGGAGGATAACGATGTACAAGACTTCTACAATGCTGGTTAGAATACACTTAAGTAAGGGACTCTGGACGGGGCTGAAATCATATGCCTGGGGTTAAAGGCTATCACTTCTAAATGTATTTTTAAGAAGTTTGGGCATCGTGGTCAAGGCCAGCTTTTGTTGCTATCCCGAACGGCCCACTGAATGGAGTGGCTGCTAGGGCCAGAAAGCAGTAAGCAGTAAACCACATAATCATCGGTCTGGAGTCACGTAGAGACCAGATCCGGCAGATTAGCTTCCTTAAAGGATATTAAATGGACGAGATGGGTTCTTTCATGAATCGACGATCCTTTCGTAGTCACCGACACGGAGGCCAACCCTATATTCCAAATTTTATTAATTGAGTCCAAATTGCACCAGCGATGGTAGGATTTGAACCCACGACCCCTAAGCATTAGCATGGATTACCAGTCCAGTGGCATTACCACTAAGCTGCCTTTACACGTGAGAATGAATGATTGATTGAATGGATGGTTTGGGGGCCCAGGATGACTGAGATACAGCCTCAACCCCATACCATACAAACCCCTACTCAATGGAGTCTCGCATCCAACAAACCAAATTACAGGGAATTTCTTGTGATTGACAAATTCCCTCTACCCTCCTCTTTCTCTCTCTCCCCCCCTCTCTGTCTCTCTCTGCCCTCCTCTCTCTCTTTCTGCCCTGCCCTTCCCCTCCCCTCCCCCCACCTGGATTGGAACCAAGCACAGACGACAAATGAAATTACCGCAGCTGTGAATATTATTTTAATATCTGTACAAAGCATTAAAACATTTAAAAACACTCTGACAAGCACTGTCCCTGACCACTAGTTGTGCGATCCGGTCAGTGGAAGAGAAAAAGGAAGGAAAATATGAATTAATGTAGGCTGTGTCCCTAATGGGAATGAAGGAAGCATTTAATTTCAATTACATCAAGCTTATTTACAAACGCAATGTCCTTGAAAAGTTCATCGTTTTGTGTCATGGGTTGTCTTGGCAGAAATGTGGATAGATAATGAGAGGAAGCAACTTCCTCCGAGAGGGAATGTCATTGAGCTGGGAATCGTGGGATGAGATGAGGAGGAGTTTAAATTGGAATCCATTGATCTCAAAAGATTTCACATACTTTGTGATCAATGACCAAACCAGGAAGAGTCATGACGCTGCCACCACGTTGCAGTATGACATGCGAACGGGGCTCAGTTATTGCACTGCCCATTGGGGACGGCATGGAACTCGATGAGCTGAATGGCCTCTTGTCCGTGACCACCCAACGGACTCTACAAATGTGCACAGCAGCAGCCGACGCCGTCAAGAATGGAAAACCTGTTGTTGAGTAGCGTTCCCACTCGGAATCCCAGATCAACAAGTCACACAGCATCAGCTGATGGTCCAAGCTGCGGCACCCAGCACTTGGAGCCAGTGTTCCCGCTGCTGTCTGACGGAACTGGTGTAAGTCTGTCCATGGAGAGGATGCGTCTCCATCCTACACCGCTGGCCTCACTCTGGGAAACAACTGGAAAACAAACAAGAGACAGTAGGAACTGCAGATGCTGGAGAATCCGAGACAACAAGGTGCAGGGCTGGATGAACACAGCAGGCCAAGCAGCATCATAGGAGCAGAGAGGCTGACGTTTCGGGCCTAGACCCTTCATCAGAAAAGGGGGAGGGGAAGGGGGTTTTGAAATAAATAGGGAGAGAGTGGGAGGCGGATAGAAGAGGGATAGAGGAGAGGATAGGTGGAGAGGAAACAAACAGGTCGAAGAGGCGGGGATGGGGCCAGGAAAGGTGAGTGTAGGTAGGGAGTTAGGAAGGGGATAGGTCAGTCCAG